CACACACACACACACACACACACACACACACACACACACACACACACACACACACACACACACACACACACACGCATACAGGGTCTGAGGAGAGGAAGATCGGACGAACAGCAGAGAGAGGAGCACAAAAGGGGTATGCAGCCAGTCCTCCTCGGAAAGGAGCTGGTCTAAGCACCGAACCCTCTCGATATTTCTCTCGATTTTTTCTGAGTGGTTTGATGCAATTTTTTCTGTTTTTCTCTATTTTTTTCTCCCTGTATTGCTTCCTCGATTCACAACACAATAAGAATGCACCCGTGGGCGCAACGGTGCCCTGCCTAAAGGCGGTGTGTGGCATACGCATCTACAAAGGAGGATGGGTGCAGATGGCACTAAGGGCCCGGACGGAAATCGCTAGAATGGGCAATTATGGGCCGAAAGGCTTTCGTCTGATCGGGCAGCGGATCCGCGGATTTGTCTCCCCCTTTGTGCCATGCTTATCGTGATTCTTGTTTTTCTATTTTCTTTCTTCTTTTTGTTTTTTCCTCTCTGCTGAGTACTTGAGAACCTCTCGTTTTCTCGATGGGTCGTGTCGCAACTTTTCCAATTTTTTTTTCAAATATTTTTTTTCAAATCTTTTTGGCTATACCATAATAAAGCAGGTACGGATGCATCAAATTGGGCCACCATAAGCCAGGGCCAAACAATAAAAATCCCAACACGGAACGTAGGACTGACGCGATGGCAGGAGGGACGCAACGGATGTAAAGGCAAAGAGGTAGCAGATGTTACCAATAATAATAAAAATAATAATAAAAAAATAAAAGATAAATAGAAGAATAAATGGAAAAAATTGGGAAAATAGGAATAGTAAGGAGGTTGTTATTTGCGAAGTTTGTTGCCTTGTGCTTCATTTTTTTCGCTCGCTTGTTCCGTTTTGCTTTTTTTTTTTTATGCCTTCTGGAGTCAGAAGGATGATGCAGTGTCCAGGTGGAACAGATTAGTGAGAGAACCTCGAACATCCTGGCACCATGGAACAGTCTACAAAGCCTTGTGGTGTGCAAACCTCACACCCAAAGCTGCTTTTGCACTCAGAGTGGAGTGTAGGCTCGGGGAAGTGCTATGAAAGGGTGTGCCAAAGAATTTAGGAAAGACGGGACTTGAAAAAAAAAATTAAAAAAAGAAAGACTCGGGTTGAAATCCACACTGGGAACTGGGATCTCCGTGAAAGGGATCGGTACAAACGGATTGAACAGATTCAAGATCCAAGTCGCAACAGCAACATCCACACAATACGAGCGCACGCAGAACTCAATTACAACTTGAAATGATATGGCCTCGTTGAATCCTGTTCAGCAGGTGTCTCAATGTCCGTGGGTATGGCCGCCAGCAACAAGGGCAGACTGGTAACTCTCTCTCTCTCTCTCTCTCTCTCTCTCTCTCTCTCTCTCTCTCTCTCTCTCTCTCT